GTTGTCTGATTTTAGCTTTGCATATGAAAACTGATTAGGGTTGGAAAAATCTTAGCCTTTGGGGGCATCCATTGTGCATGGCCAGCCTGATGGAAACCAACTTGAGGCACAAGTTGAACTCGTAAGGGAGTGCCTCACCCCTGAATTTCATTCAGCTTTACAAGGCCAAAAACCATTGCCAATTTTCAGATACTTAGAAGTGAAAATCTCCTATTTGTTGTTGTAGATAAAGTTTGAAAACCTTGTCATAATGACTTTCACTGAACTACCCTTTATAATTGGAATATTGATGTAACAGTCTATGTGCAGCAATTGTTTAGTGCTTATTGGCTTAAAATTAAAGGGAATATTGATTGGGATTTTCATGACTGGCTCTGTGACAGCTTGATAAAGTAAATCTTAATTTTTGAAATCTGGTTTTATGAGCATGCATGTTGTGTCCAACTTGTCCACTAAGGATACTTGTATTCACACATTAGTTGTTTCTCAAAGTCAGCTGACATCCTGGATAGTGTGCATGGAGACAGAGAAACAGCAACCATGTGTCAAGGCAGTCATGTAGTTGTTGTCTAGTAGTGGTCAAGAAGAAGAACTTATTTGATAAAAAAGGAAGTGAAAATTGATCATGAGAAACTCTTATGTTAACTTCAGTTGATTAGGAAATTATACCCCTTAAATCAGTTAGTTTCATCAATGTTACAACGAATTACCAAATAATTACAAAATGTTCTATTTTAGTTGTCTTCATCATGTGCATTAAGCGGATGGGGCACCCAGGAGCCAGAATGGGTCAAGCTGGTTTATTCTGCTCTCATCTTTCTTTCCGGGAGTTCAGGAGGTGAAATATATCCTCTATTTTTGTACTTAGACTGACTCATAAATAGTTACATTGTATATATAACTAAAGGTTTAATTTTTCTTTTGGTGGAAAAGTAATGTATTGAAGAAAGTATTTCTCTAAGTCTGAAAGTCTCCCTAACTTGCTTACTAACTTTATATGCCCTGCGGGGACAGTAACATGGTTTTCGTGACTTACTGAGACAAAAAAGAGTGAATAACTACATGATTTTCTAATCTTACATTTGGCAGTCTGAGTCGCTGTGGGTGTTACATGTACCTCCTTAATACATTTATTTAATTTCTTGTTGTAGAGACTCCAGCATCATTTGTGCCTTTAGTAGATTTCAAAGAGAGGCCCCAGCAGTGGAAGTGGATAGGTGAACACAGTCATACTTTTACATACTGTAACCCATATCCTGCTCTCTACTTCTTTGCACTTTTGCTTAAAACCCTTTAGGTCAGGTGTTTTAAACAGGACACAATCTGTAACTTTCAGATTTGATTTCTGAATGATCAAAATCGTTATAACTGTATGGTCTATCAAGCAAGTCATCTTCAAACAATCTTTTGCGAACCTTCGATTTGCCTTAACTCGAGGTACAAGTGGCGCTTTCGGAGTTTTTTCCGGATGAATAATTATGGTTTCCAAAACCTATATTAACCAAAAGGAAGGGGAGGTCACTTCACCCGGTTAAAACTATGTCAAAATTCAGATTTCTCCTGAAAATTGCCTTTCTACAAGAAAGAGCAATCTTTCTGTTGACAGCATTTTGAGACTTTCAGATTTTGTCCTCAACCACAATTATTTTAAATATGATGGCGACCACTACAAACAGCTACTTTGGATCCGAATGCTGGGAACGATCACTTCGTACTTCCAGAAGCCTATAAAAACCTCGCGCGAGCATCAAATACATAGTTACGCGCGCAAGCTTCGCGTCACGTTTTTTAACTTTAAATAGCGTATGATAACGATCTTGGTTTTTTTCATAACACCGATGAAGGCTTAAGCATTTGCCGGAACGTCTGTTTTAGAAATAACAACAGTCAGAGGCAACCAATTTCCATAAAACTCTTGTAATCAAGTTGTACATTTATTTTTTATTTTTTATTTTTTTGGGGGGAGGGGGAGGGGCAACATGTAATAAGGCGCTTCACCCCTTATCTTTTTCTACTTTGGTGACTCGTTTCATAGTACTACAGACATATTTTGAGGTGTTTGGAATTTTTTTCGGGGTAAGGACTTGAGGCTTGAGAGTAAAAGGACTCAAGACGACTCTCAGGTCTTTAGATATTCTTCATCTGGCCAATATAGCAAATATGCAAATGTAGCAACATAGCGAATAGGCGAATAGCATCATGACGCTCTTGTTCTGTTCCTTTCATCTTTTACTTGGCCAAAGCCTGAAATTGGTTTTGTCAATTTGTACAATTTTTTTTTCAGGGAACAGGTGTGGTGCCAAGAATGGATACCTTTAATACAGTCATTTATTTTATGGGTAATTTTGCACTGTGTGGGTAAAATGTTTGCGTATGAAGCCAAATGTTTTGTGTTTCATGCAGGTACTCACAGAGATGGGGATGATTTACTGGAGTCGTTGTGTGAAGACTGGCTTCAAATCAAAGAACAGCTTAAAAACAAGAAGGCATGACTTTTTTTCTCCTTGGTTATGTGCGGAGATTTTTCTTTTCTATGTGGGAAATGAAAAGAGATAGTTTTAGATTAGTGTACATGTTTTGGTGTACATGTTTCTTACTAACTTTGTTTTCTCGGTCCATACTGTAAGTTACAGACCAGGTTTTTTGCGCTCGGAAATCTGAGGGGCAAAAACTAAATTCTGTAACTTACCGTATAGTTCAAATAGAAGGGGAAGATTTCAAATCAATCAAACTTTGAATTTAGCGGGCAGTACAGTGAATTACGGCCCGCAAAAGTGACCAATCATTCACATTCAGGGAATTGCTTTGATGGAGGGTTAAAAGGTATCAGTTAAAGCAGTTGTTTGTGGCTTAATTGAACTAAGGGGTGGGACAAGTTTTGTCATCACTTAAATAGGCACTTACCCGGTCGATCAATAGTAAGGACTTGTGAGGTGAAGTGACATGTTCGTCCTTGAGTTTGTTATGAAGTTTATGATTGTTGTGTTTGATCATTTGTAGGATGTTACAGCGGAAACAGATTCGTCATCTACGTCCAATCCACGAGCGTAAGTAAAAACACCTGTGAATCATTTATGCTACAAGATTAGTTTTACGAACTTGCCGGAGGGTTGTGAATCAATAAGGGAAGTCAATGGCAAATCGAGTGGCAAACTATTCACTGCATTCTCATCCTAAGCCACACGTTTCAAAGCTCGTAACTTTCTCTATGTTTCCTCACCTATAGGCGGATTCATGCTGACGTCATTGTTTACATTTTTGCTCATTTGCATACGGCTTTGCGTAAAGAAGGAAGCATGTTAGATACAAATTGACTTCAGGCAGCTAAAGAGCTAGAAAACCTCAGTACATGGTGAAATTTTTAGCTCTTTGGGTGTAATATTCAAGGAGAAATAGTCCATCAAAAACTGCAAAATTTCTGGGTGGCAATAGCGCTAATGAGCTCATACATTCTATGTAAAATTTTGAGTTTTTAAACCCGTGTTGCACAAAAAGTATTCAATACATCAGGCTCGTATTCATTGGCCGAGTTAATCGTACTTTGACCTTCCGATATTCAGAACTGATTTATTTTTAGCTCTATCAGAAACTGAATTGCTTATGCTAATGAGGCAAATATTGTAAACAAGGATTCCCCTATTGGGCGTTCAGATAATGGGTTAATAGACTTCCATTTCAGTTTTTTGTCACTCCACTGGACAAACCTGAATAATGATATTAATCTATAGATAGAAGTAGATTGCAAATGAAATTTGTCACTGCAGGAAAACAGATTTCGTTGTGAGACCAAGTACGGAAGAGGAGAGAGCAGCTTTCAGGGAACAGGTAAATATTTGATCACTGTTACTCAGTATCTTAGTGGTCGGTAGAAATATGGTTGAGAACGAGTGGGGTACGAGGAAGATGAGTGTTACCAAGAGGGGAATTTCGATAACAACTTGGATAGGCAGTGGAAGAGGATATAAGAATCGTGGGTATGCCGTCCCTCTACAGAGTGGACGAAAATTATTATTTCTAATAAAGCAAGAGTTGTAGATAAGTAACCCCTCTACCGTGTGAACTAAGATTATTGGAATACGCAGTTTACATTGAATTGCAGTTTCATTATTGACCACTGAATATACGGAATCTCGCTCCGAAGTACTAGGCGATATAGAGCGATAAGGATGTCATCAATTTCTTGGTAATAAGTGTCCATTAATTATTTTGAATTACTTGCACTGAAAGAAAAAATCACCTTTTAGATATAAATTGAATCGAAGTTGACTTTGACATGCTAACTATACTGGGGTACCACTATTTTGTTTAACCAACAGGAGCAAAAACGATATGACAATCCACACAAAGCCTTCACCTTCAGAATGCACGGTTTTGAGTCTGTGGTGGGTCCTGTCAAGGTAAGTTGGTGCACTACGTAGTCTTAGTTATTTAGAATTGCTGTATGCTGCTATCTTTAGCCCTGATGGATAGAGGAGTAATCAACATCAGTAGGTGCTTTTATGTATGGATATTATGCTTGCGCTGAATTATGGGAAGCTTACGAGGCTGTGAGATACATGACTATCAAGCAATGTTAAGTCTTTCTAAATAGCTGCGTACTATTTTGCCTGTTTTTCTTATGCTGATTACCCCCCCCCCCCCATAGGCGTCTTGCTCACCAATTCAGACGACACCCGTTGGAATGTTAACAAAGTTTTACATCAATAAGTTCCTAGTCTTACTAAAAGTTTTTGTTGAAGCAATGAGCTTGCTATGATATGTCCAACATTTAAACTGAATTTGTATTAGAACAAATCCTCCTGGTAATTGTCGTAATTCCTTTTCTATAAAATTCGCAAACAGAATTCCAGTGATATTTAGAAGACAAAATGTGTACTCCCTACAAGAGAAAAGCGAAATTAGCTTGAAACTTTCATCCTTGGTTTTTCGCTAACCTCGGCTCCCACTCATATTTTTCTCTAATGTAGGGTGTTTTTAGTAAAGATACCAACCTAAACAAGGCTCGGGAACACTCCTTGTTAACCTCCTTGCGACCCCCATACGTCACGATCCTCACATTGGTTAGAGATGCTGCTTCCCGACTTCCTAATGGAGAGGGAACTAGAGCTGAGGTAACTCCATTGAAACGGATTGTAAAGCACAGGGATTTTTTTGTTTGCATGGGCGAGACACGAGATATATTGGGGTACTGAGTGAAACAATGCATGTTGTAGGTACTGATGTTAGTACCGAGCTGCTTTATCGAATAACAGGCTGCGCTTGTCCAAATTGCTGCGCAGAGCTTAAAGCAAGTTCTTTTTCATTTGCGGTTTGCAAACAACGCTCCTCTTAGAAAAGTAAGAAACAGACGATTAACCATAACTTTACTTTCGCTTTTGTTATTTAGTTCTCTTTTAGAAGTGTCCGTAATGAGGTAAATCCTAAGTATACTCTACCTTGAAATGGTACTGATAATAGCCTTACTATAGCCAACTATTTTAAAGATATGTGCTTTTGATTATTAAATCATAAACCAAGTAACAGGAGGTTTTCATTTATTCAGTAACTGTGATCTCCATTTTCTCCTGACAGGTTTGTGAACTGTTGAAAGACTCGCAGTTTCTCAACTCAAATTGCTCCGATGCACAGGTTGGTGACTTATCATTAATAAATAATTTGTAAAAGTGAATTTCTCTGATGAAACAGGTTTTGTTTTACCACGCTCTGTGATTTGTTTGATTAACGTAGTCCACCTTCTTAACAAATGGAAAGCCGAACTACATAACATATAAAACTAGTCAAGACTGGGTGACTCACAAACTCCCAACTTTAGAAGCAACGCTAAGAATCACACCATACAACCACTACCGATTTTTTCTCGGTCGCTAAGCATTCAGCTCGCAAGGCGAGAAGCTGGTGTATGGGAAAAATGTATTTAAATAATTACCCCAACCATATTTTGAGATTGCAAAGATGATATTACCCTCCTAAAATTGTCATACTTGCAAACTTCGATTACGGAAGCCGCCTTCTGAAAGAAGAACACTGTAACCTTCTCCGTGAAGAAGAAATCTCCATGCGATTATTTTGCTTTGTGATGTGATAGCCTATGGAATTGAATCGGTGGAGACTAAACATTTATTACCTATTTAGCTGCCACTACCATTCCGTCGTTTGACATTCATGGTCATTTATCATAGATTTTATCGATTGACTACACAAAGCCTGTCTATTTTTCATTTGTTTTTAACCACGGTAAATACACACAGTGAAGTTACAAATAATCACGAACTATATGTTAACGTATTTTACATGTATGTATGCAGATTCACACAGTGGTCAGTGGGGCCTTGGACAGGCTTCATTATGAACGGGATCCATGTGTAAAATATGACAGCAACAGAAAAGTGTGGATTTATCTACATCGCAACCGGACTGAGGAAGAATTTGGTAATCTGTTATGATTAAAATCTCTCTTGGTGAATAAATGACTGACTCACAGACCGATTAACCGACCCATCGGCTGACTGACTCACTGACTGACTAGCTGAGTGTTTCATTGACTGACTAAACTACTGACTGATTGATTTACTAACTGATTAGACTGACCGATCGACTCATTCACCGACTGATTGACGAACTGACCCACTGACCCACTGACTTACTGATTTGACTGACTGACCGACAGATTGACCAACTGATTGATGTACTGACTGACTGAATGACCGAGTGACTCTCTGATTGACTGACTGATCGACCTACTGACTAGCTGCCTGATTGACTGTTCTACTGACTGACTGATTGACTGTCTGAGCGACTGACTAAATGACTGACTGACACTGAATGATTGATTGATTCATTTACTTACTTACTGACTGACCGAGTGACTTACTCATTGACTGACTGAATGAATGACTGACTGACTGATTGACTTAATGACAGACTGACCGAGTGACTTACTGATTGACTGACTGACTGAATGACAGGCTGACTGAATGACAGGCTGACTGGATGACAGGCTGATTGAATGACAGGCTGATTGAATGACAGGCTGCCTGAATGACAGGCTGACTGAATGACAGGCTGACTGAATGACGGGCTGACTGATTGACTGACAGTTGTAGGTGATTTTTTCTAATGCAGTTAAGAAGTAACTTCAGTTTAGACATATCAGACCTCTCATTACCTATTGGTTTGTTTTAAGAAAAAATCCATCAAGCAAGCGCTGCAGCTGCACGAGCTAAGAAGATGCAGAAGCCCAGAGTTCCTCGGCAACCGGTAGGTACTGGCTTGATTATGTCAATACCTGCCATATTAGCATCCCCACAACAAAACATTGGATAGTTAACAACTATTCACCGAAGTGGAGGTAAATATCCTCCGCTAACCACCGACACTGAGGTGAGTAGTTGTATAGTTATATACTAAAACAGTGAGATAATATACACCACCGTCGTTAATTTGACTGATTTCCTCGCTTGTCCCGGATACAAACCGGGACGCCATTTTCCCCGAGTTGCTCGGAGGTAAATAGCAAAGGATATTCGGAGTTTGACTAGCCAATCAGAGCGTGCCTTCAATGCTATCCACTGTTTTAGTACATACTAAAAGTTGTTATTCAATAGTTAAATCAATTTTTCATTTTCACAAGTAAAAATTTTCTGTACTCTGACTTCTTGAATATGGATTTCCAACAGAAGAGCAAAGAGTCGGTGCAACCACAAGAACAAGAAGGAGCTGTCACGGCTCCACCCACTGTACCCACTGTCGCTGGGGTTGGTCCTACCTCTTCACCTCGCCAAGCGGACTCATTGCCATCTCAAGTTGAACCAGGTACAGGGTTTTCTCGTGTATGTTTTAAGTGAAAGCAATTCCCATCCATTCAAGCATCTCATTTTTTTTGTCACTTACCAGTCCTCGCCCAAATGATGCTCTAAGCATTCTTTTGAACAACATAATTTGGTTTTATCAATTGACGTGATAATATAAATTTGCCATTGTAAAGAGTTTAATGTGGAAACTCTTAACGGTGGCCAATTGACTTCTTCAACTTGGTTGACAAAACCAAATTATCTTGTAATACTCCCCCTTCCCCCAACAACGCAGCACCACGGTTTCTTTAAAGCCTTACCCCATGATTCTTTTTAATAGTTTTTAGGTAGTGATGTTTGAATATTATTCGTTCGACATCAGGTCAGTCCCAACTGAGAGGACCATCTAGGCTGAATACTGCTGAAACTGGCATTGCTTGCTCCCCAAGTCACAAGTTCACAAGCGCTTTGAACTCGCATACTAGTGTGTTGAATATCGCCGACGACCCTGTGGACACAAGTCCTCTTCAGCTCTCCAACGTAAGTGAAGACTTGAAAGGCGACGCTCAAATCGCGCGCAAAGACAGCTGGAGTAGTGAAGGGGAAAGTTCAGATGAAAGTAGTGCAAGTGACCGTGAAAGTGACAGTGGTTCAGCGGGGAGCAGCAGTGAGGGAAGGAAGGAACAAAAAATACACCCAGGGAAAGGAAAAACTCTACCAGGTTTGCGCTTTTATTTCTCGCTTCGATATCTGTTTTTTCCCCCTTTATTTACCTCGTGTAGACGGAATATCTCGACTGTCTTTTGAAGTGGAATAAATCGAAATATAAGGGAATGCGTTTGAGGTTAGGGAGTGCGTTTATTCCTGATTTGGTTTGTCCTTTAATCTTTAGATCTCTCTCTCTCTCACGAGTGGACCGGGCTCTGGAGAAACCAAAAATTAATAGGAAAAGTTTACAAAGCAAACGCTTCGCGAGCGTTCATTTCTGTGATTAACCCTGAACCTCTAAAAGAATTCAACAACCCATTATTGGCCTTTTTCCCCAAAAACGGTAACTTTAAATAGTTCAGACAATTTTTATGGTATTTACGAAGCTTCCTGTCGGGTCGGTTGTCTCCAGATTCCCTCCCGAATGAGTTTTTTTTATTGGTAGTGCAACTCGAAATATAAGGGCCGGTTATATAAACGGGTCTAACCCAAACCGCAGTTTTATCGAAGCAATGGTCTTCGGGTACTCTCTATTGAGGGTTGAATTAATTAAATAAATGTCCTTCGACTGTCAGCTTTCGGCCCTCTTAACACTGTTCACAAAAAGAAATGTTCAGATAAAAGATTCAGCTAAAAGAAAGATAGTTTAGTACGCGGTTTTGTAAAACAGCGCCTAAACTTAGTTTAAATAACTGGCCCTAAAACTCTAAATAGCGACTTAGAAATGACTTGACAAGGGAAGAGACAGTCGAAACCATATAGTCATCGGTTTTTGCTTTTTAAATTTTGCAAGGGCAGAAAATTATAGAGCGCATTTTGTTTATTCCAAAACATTCTCTTATATAAATTCAAATTCAAACGGTTCTTAGAGAGCTTTGGCTGCTTGTGGCTCACTTCCACGATTTTATCTATATCAACCTGAAATTGATACAATGTCAAGGTATCAAATGAAGACAATTTGACGAGTGTTGTAGCTAAGTACTAAATGTAAGTATTTCCTTTGGTAATAAATGAACAGAAAATCATTTCGTCGAAACGAAAATACAAATTCTGATGTACTGACAATGCACCTTGACATCTTACATGGTATCGCCCGCTATTTCAAACTCAGGTGTGATCTCAAAAGCGTCAACAGAAGCATTTTTTCTTTTATTATTTGTTTTTTTGTAACGATTAATTGAACTCAGGGTATCATTTATGTTTGTTACAGTGTAAATACCTATGGCCAGAGAACGCCAAAGTTAATTTGTTTGCTTGTCTGGGGACTGAAGACTTGTTACTAGGTTCACTATTCAAAATAATTTGTTTCTCTCTTTCAGGAGTGGAGCAGACAGCTACAAGACTGCAGGATAACCAGACAATTGACGAGAGCGGTAAACCATCATAGAAAGCTATCCATATTTTTAATTGTGTTTATTAATTTTGATCCTACAAGATAATACAAACGGTTATCACTTTAGTCGACTATAATCCCATGATTTCTGCACCGACTCTAGGCTATAGGGCTCATTGGGCTGGTCTTTCGTTCAATCTTAAGGTTGAGATCTGTTCCTTCCCATTAAGCTTACTACGTTTAACTCAACTTTCACGACCTCTTTTTTTCGCCATTTCTGGTTGTGCATATTTTGCAACTGTTCAATTTCGCGTTTATAAATAAGGCAGATTTCTTTTCTTGGAAATGCTACGTAACATGTGTTTGATCGGATAAAACGTTATTAGTAAAGGTATTATAAAAGAAAAAGGAAACGACAGGAATCTACCTCGACAGTTTCAGGTCGCCTGTTTATGAATTATCAGTCAATTGACCACAATGTTCCTTGACATTAAAATCTCGTACGGTTTCCAAAGAAACTTACAAATGTTGGAGGTATTTGTGTGGGGTTATTGATATATAACAGGTGTTATTATATGGCAAGGTAATCCAGAGGTAGATCCGAGTGTTCTGATTGGTTCTTGCTGCTTTACCGCACAGACTCCACAGAAACGGTCATAAGTTGTGTATTTTTTTTTCGCGAAGCCAGCAAATTCAATGAAATAAAAAAGTTAGTTCGAGTTCCATTTGATAAACTACTTACTGACCTCCCTTGCATGAGCCGTACTTGGGAATATTTGCACTCGGTCCGTACTGCCACGACCTCGGGCCCAATATTCCCCTGTGCGGCCCCCACGGTCGTTTAGTAAGAAGTTGGTAAAAGTTCTCATCCGGACGTGTCATGTGAGTTTGTCGTTATGTTATATTCGTGACATTAACTGCGCGTGTCACCTGATTGTTCGGGAGATTTCTAGAATTGTCGTGAACGTTTGATGTAATATTGAACTACAGTATTGAGCCGAACTTATGCGATTTGTTTCTTTGAAAGGTTTTGACTTTGGGGATACGACGAGCAGGAAGGAAGGAAACCCTGACACAAGCAGTGAGCCTGGTAGGCTACGGGTTATAACTATTTATTTACATGATCAGGTCTCTTATCTATATCTACTAAGTGGTACATTACTGGGAGAAGATTTGAAATGTCCTTACTTTCAAATGTTAGGGAAAAAACCGAGAAGAAACAAAACAAATAAGATTCCTTCCGGCGTAACACGACTCAGTTAAATCTGCGGATGAGCTGTAGGGATAGGAATTTTTTTCTGTTTCTCTTTTTGAATGATAGGGTACCCGCAGTTAGTATCCTTTGTGGATATGTGACGCCCTAAAAACCGATAGTGGTCACTACCCATGCTCTCTTAACCGTTTCATCCTGGGTTGACGTCGATTGAAAGAAGAAAGGTTGATGAACGAAATCAACAAAGAACGGTTTTATACCAAGAGAACACGAAAAACCCACTCAAATTAATCAAATTTAAGGTTATAACCCAGCAATCGTGATTTAAACCCCTAAATTTAATTCCAATGTTTTCTTAATTTTGTTTCAGGATCTGGAAGTGAAAGCGACTTCAGCAACGTCGATTGATAGGAAGAATAAGACCTGTGCAATTTGTTTTTTAATAGTTACATTAATCAAACTACAAATTTTTCCACCTTTCCTTTGTCAAAGACAAGCATGATAGTTGTTTGTTCCAGTTCCCATAATCTCCTTCATCAAGATCAACCCAGGTTCGATTCCCATGTCTTCCTTTCATACTTCCCATATGAGGCACTTGGTATTGTAGGATTCAACAGAGTTTAAGCATGGTTCGAATTTATAATAAAATCCACTGTATGACGAATCTGTAATCAAACCTGAACCTTTCTTTGTTACTTTTTATGAATTCAATTTTGATTAGTACTTGTCTATTTTTCTCAGCACGATCTGAACCTGTTTTGTTTACCCTGTGGGCAAAAGCAGTGGTACTTTAGCTCAAATGAACAATTAGTTTGTAATTTCTTTGGTTTTAAAATTCTAGTTGCCATTTGCAGGGCTGATGACTCAAAGACTCCATGACTGAACAGAATGCTATTTTCTCGTTTTTTAAACCCTCCCTTAAGTCCAATGGTCCGATGGGAATTTTTCTAATTGGCGAGAACATTTAACAAAGTCCTCAAAGAAAGTGACAGCACTCTGTACTTTTTTAGGCAACTATTTGGCAACGACGGCGGGAGTGTTTATAACATTTGGGTAAGAGTTCGAGAGTGTTTCGTTCGTTGGCTTTATTTTGCCTTGCGATCTTAAAGGCGGGTACATGTATATCAGTCGGTACATCATATACCAGATACGTCCTTATTCTGCATGACAGTGGGTTTCGGTGATTTCCAGGATATCGAATTTCAGGGAAATAGTATCGTATTTACTTCTTAGACGTTACCTGAAATTGTCAGCATAGCTTTTATTCCTCAGTTGGACAGTTTTAAAAAATTAAAGAAATAATAGCTTTAAAAAATTAAAGAATAATAGCTTGACTGACTAGTCCCCAACTACAATTGACTAGCTATAGACTTTATAAGTAATAGTACCTTCCGGGTGAAGGTAGTCACGACCTTAGAAGGACTCCTGTCGGTAGCGGTGACTGACGTTTCGACAACCGTAGCGGAAGTCATCATTAGAGTCAAGTGTAGCCTTCTCATGATCTCAACCGACTACACGATCACACCTTTTTTTCCACGGCGTTTGTTGGCTCAGGCTACTGACACATATTTATCTCTGCTTCCGAAGTTTGAACTTAAGAATTTTAGTAATTGTGCTGGCATCATACTTATCGATGTTCTTATACTACGATAGCATTATGCCTCCCCCTCCCCCCCCAAAAAAAAGAAAGTGACTTGACCGATATGACCTTAGTCTCCCTCGCAGTCGTTTTTAGTGTCGTCACGCAACGCTTCTCCCCACAAACGGCTGCTCACATTCGAACAACATTCCTTTCCCTTTGTTGTCTTTGCACCAATGAGATCGCTGACATTGTTTCTTATGCGACCAATCAGAGCACAAGAGACTGTCATCGCTATCGTTATTCCCGCGTTTTCAAATTCTGCATTTCATCGTAGTTTCTAGTCTCCCTCGCAGTCGTTTTTAGTGTCGTCACGCAACGCTTCTCCCCACAAACGGCTGCTCACATTCGAACAACATTCCTTTCCCTTTGTTGTCTTTGCACCAATGAGATCGCTGACATTGTTTCTTATGCGACCAATCAGAGCACAAGAGACTGTCATCGCCATCGTTATTCCCNAATATTTTAACAATTATTCCACGAGCGCGCGTTGGATATGAGATGATAGATAGCCAACGAGGCGCGTAGCGCCGAGTTGGCTATAATCATCTCATATCCAACAAATGCGAGTGGAATAATTGTTTTATTAAAAAAACGCCCCCAAACTATTAGACAAATCTTCTCGACTTTATTTTGTGAGAAGAAACCGGATTTAACAATGTACAGAATTTAGATTATGGTATATTGGCTCATATACCATAATGGCTGAGCCAATAAAAAGTCTTGAATTGCATTATCCAATGATCCAGTTTTTAATAAATACATATATTTACTGTATTTCATTCTATTCAATTGACAATGACCGAAGCACGGTCGAAACGTCGTGTTTTACCGTTCATTTTTATTGTCAAACGCCCAACTTCATGTTTGTAATCCTGCTCGCTGATAACTTATCTGATTGAAGAGCGGTCAACTGTGCGACAGTTCTTATAATGCGCTGTCACATGAAGTGAACAATTTGACAAGTGCTTGGACAACAGCCAAATATAATTACGTCACTTTTTTTTTTTCAAATGCTAGGTCGGCATTTTATGTTGACTGTGACTTCGTTCAAAATGGCTTTTGGTCTCCTTTTGCTGCTGCTCACTTGCCAGTCCATCATCCGTGTTGAAGGTTGGTATAATTAACCTAAATCAAATTTCGTTTGATTGCACTTCGGCTTATGATAATGCGAAGAACGTACCAAAAAGAACAGTTGAAGTACGTTGTCTTGATGGGCGCCAAGGCATTTAGTCCCGCGTGCTCTATTTTACATCAGGATTATCGCTGCTCAGAAATTTTAAAAGAACACATCTTTTGTTATTCTGAACGATAAAAGGGAAGATAAATTGGATTGAAGCGATAAAAGAGTAGAGAAATTGGATTGAAACGAAAGAAGTGTTCAATCGAACTAATCGATTGTCGATGATGTACACGTTTTAATGAATTCCATCCATTCATACAGTCTATTCTTATGACACACCGCCGTCACGTGCTTGTACCTTTCGCGTGTGTGTAGTCATTGAATGCTCTAGTATTTGATGACGTCTACAAAATATAAATCTAAAATGCCGATTGTCCTTTTTTACCCGAGTTGATTTTAACGGCTTGGTTTCATCATAAAAATTGGAAATTTTCTCGAGATAACTCGAAAATGTTGTTAGCGATTTCGAGTATTTGGCTAGCCTCGCGTGTTCCGTGTTCTTTTTATCCATTCATAAGGCCAGTTCATCTCAGATAACTCATCTTTAAATAAAGTCGACTTGAAACTCTAAAATGCGTTTCGAAGTCTTGCGGTCATCAAGACACAAGTCGCAAAGCAAAACAATCAAAAAGTGCTTCGAGAACGCTGATAAATTATAAGTTTCGAATCGTTCGCCACTCCACTTATTAGTAACTTCATACTGAGATTAATTTGATTTATGTTCGACAGTAGAAGAATAATTCGAAATTTCGTGAAAGCCTCACACTCTTTGACGCGTTAATATCTGACGAGCATTCTGGCAAACTTTCATGAAAAGAGTTTAGGTAGAGGTATCTCACGTACAAACAAACCTCGAGTTTTCGGCCTCTAAAGAAATTCACAGTTTACTCACGCGTGTCAATGGAAACACAACATCGAACCCCCCAACAAGTCTCGAGACATAGATTCGTGGGAAAGTTCATTTTGTGACTCTGGGAAAACGAAATTACAGTGGATTAAACGAAATCCAAAAGTTCATAGGAAAAAAACAGTAGGAAAAGTGGGCAAAGCAAGCAGGGAAAAAGAATTTCAATTTCATCGGACTTGGCTCTCTTTGCGAAATGTGCCAGAAATTCCCTCTTGTTGTGAAGGGTAAGACGCGATGTAAACAAGATATGCAAATCAAAACTTCCCTCTCCGGTACAGGTTTCCTAAGACATTTTTACACCCGTATCCGGCGTCCTTTAATTTTTTTTTGGACGATTCCACTGCTTTCTTTAAAATAAGCACCCGACATTTCCGGCCGCAACTTTGAAATGAAAGCACGGTGTAAAAGACCAGATATCTTTCTTTCGATCGAGGCATCCTGAAACAGCCGGGCCAATATTCAGTCAGAAGCCGTGTGTTCGACATAAACATAAACCTTCCTCAGTATGAATTTTTTCAGTCTTGACATAGATAGCACTTGGGAATTCAACTTAGCAGAGTTAAAAAAGAGTCGCTCTTGTGATAGGTCGGTGTTTTGAAGCGCATCAGAAACGAGCACTTTTCACATTCGCGTTAACCGGGAGATAGGATATCACGACTATGCGTTTGGACACTATGACCATTGCACTAATTATTCTTCCAAACCATGCTTGCGGTTTCCGTGAAGGCAAACGGAGATTGACCTCGCATCCCACAAAGCTCGCGTAGACACGAGGGTTTGACGCAATTCATAGCAAAGAGTATTATTCTTTTCTCTGCAGAGCAGGCGTTCTTGTGGAGTTTGGGCGAAAATTAGGACTTTAGGCTTTCTGTTTTATTTTCCAGACCGCGCGTAAAATGGAGCGAGGCGAAAAATTAGGAGGCGGGGGGAGGGGGAGAGGAGAGAAGGGAACGCCTGCCAGCAGCACTTAAAAATTTGAAAAACGCCCCCTAATTAGATATGCACGAGTAACGATAACGCACAAACAATTGGCCAATCAGGTGGCGCGACGGAAGTGGATTTTCACTTC